CCGATGTTCGTACTATTGGTTAGAGTATTGTCTAAGGATAGTAGTATCGATTAACCGATGTTCATACGACGAATCTCGCTCACGATGCCGACCGCTTACCCGTTTTTTTCCGCATTTTTTCCATTCTTTCCTTTGCCCTTTTTTGCTCACCTTGTCGCGCAATGGCGGCCGAAAAATTGCTGCTTGGAGCGAGGAGTAACTCTCCCCTCTCCCACACTTTTCTTTTTAGCTGCCTGCAACCGTTTGATGGCGATCGTTGGCGGCGTGTATGTTTTTAAGGATTTGACATATTGATTAGCACTAATTAGTCACTTGTGCTATACTAAACACTCGCGGAACTGCTGCTGATGTTGTTTAATTGTTATTGCGCTCCAATTGGCAGCGGAAAAAGTTTGGTGGCGGCGTCAAATTCTTTGATCGTACTTGCACCATAAGATTTCTAAGATTTCTTAGATTCACAGCGTCTGTGTTATCCAATTGGGAAATTTCGTTGGTCTAGTTGTTTTATTCGCCTTTAAGTCACTTTTTCAACAGTATTCACCGGCTTATTAAATTTGTTCCAGCACACCTTTTCTGTGAAAGTTTTCCGTGGTAGTCTCAAGCTTAAGGTACACGGTATTAGTATCGATCAACCGATTTTAGTACTATTTGCTAGGGTATCGTTCAAGGATTTTGATATCGTTGTCGCCACGTCACGTAAGTGCCAAATTAAGTTAATACTCGTGATCACGTAAAAAGTATGTTCGTGTGCTACAACTGTTATAAACTGTTTCTCTGACTATTGATTTCTTAATATATAAATAAAAAATCATTATTGATAACATTGGACTATTTACTTATATTTTTTGAGTGATCACTGATGGATTTCTTACGTTAGTTCTGCTGAAAACGTATGAACACTATTTATGATGAAAGATTTCTTATTGGGATAATAATAGTTACAGGAACAATTAATAACACTTGTAGCAAACGAACATACTTCTGACGTTATCACGAGTATTAAAGTATGGGTAATTTTCTGGTATCGAATGCGACATTTGTACGCATTCAAACTAAAAATAAACATATGCCAAGACTTAATTTTAATTTTTTTAGCACTATAATTGGTGCTAAGATCGATTTTGGGCCCTTGCTCATTTTCAAGATGTTTACTAAAATGTAGTGCATTCGCACGCGACAAAACAGAAGTTTCATTTGCACGAAACCAGTTTAAACTCTGATTTCAGCGAAGCATGATGAAAAATTTTAAGAAATTAAATTTGTATTAATTATGCATCAATAACCTTAGTAATGGGTTTTGTTTGATTTTAAAATATTAAGTAGTTATTTTTTAATTCAATTTTAGTCCCGTTCGCACTCCACATTTTGGAAAGCGATAACCCAATTTAAAACTGTACGAATATTGGTAATTGCATATGTCCTTTTGCATTTTACTTGGACTCATTGGATTCTCAGTGTGATATTAGCAAGCAAAAGTCAGAGTCAAAACCAAACATGCTTTTTATGAACACATTATTTAGAAATTTATTTTAGAAAATGAAAACTTCTCTTAGTCTATATCAATCTAACCAATTTTTAATGTAATCATTTTAAAAATGCTCATTTTTTTTAATTTTAAGGACAAAATTTAAGAACTACACATATCATAATAATATTAAGGAATATATTATACAGGGAAAGAACATTTATATCTTTAAAAACATATCAAAATCTAACAATTATATTAAAATTGTTAACTATTCAAATTTTTAAATATACAGAATCAAGGGGTAAATTGCGAATTTTTTCCCCAGTAAATTAACTTAGTTGTAAATTAAACATTAGTTGTAAATTAACAAAAGGCTACCAACGCCAAGAATGTATATTTATCAATCCACCACAAAAATATTAACTTAATTTTGTAATTTAATAATTTTTCACTTACGTGACGTAGGGAGAACAATATATCGAAACTCAAAACACACGATACTCTAACCAATGGTACGAACATCGATTTAGCGATACTATCGTGTCCCTACGGAAAATTTTAGTAGAAAACATGTGCCGGAAAAAAACCTAATTTGCCTGTGAATACTGATGGAAAAGGACTTAAAGGCGGGAAATACAACTAGACCAACCCAATTTCCCAATTGGATAGCAAAATCGGATAGCAAATGTGAACCTAAGAAATTTTATTGTGCAATTACGATCATATGAGTTGGCATTGTCGCCATACTTTTGTTGCTTCAAATTGGCGCGCAATAACAATTAAACAAGAACAAGAACCAATAGTACTTACATCGATTGATCGATACTACTATCCTTAGGCGATACTCTAACCAATAGTATGAACATCGGTTGATCGATACTAATATCGTGTGCCTACGGCGTCAGACTGCCACGGAAAATTTGCGGAGGAAAAGAGTGCTGGAAAAAAACCAATTAGCCGGTGAATACTGTTGGAAAAGTGGCCTAAAGGTGAGTAAAACAACTAGACCAACCAAATTTCCCAATAGAATAACACAAACGCTGTGAATATAAGAAATCTTATTGTGCAATTACGACCACAGAGTTGACGCTGCCGCCATACTTTTTTCACAGCCTAATGGAGTGCAAAAACAATTTAGCAACAACCGCTGCAGGTCCGCGGGTGTTTAGTATAGCACAAGTGATTAATTAGTGCTAATCAATATGTAAAATCCATTAAAACATACACACCGCCACCGATCGCTATCAAACGGTTGCAGGCAGCAAAGAAAAAAAAGTGTGGGAGAGGGGAGAGTTACTCCTCGCTCCAAGCCGCAATTTTTCGGCCGCCATTACGCGAGAGGGAGAGCGGCAAACGGGCAAACGAAAGAAAGGAAAACGGTGGAAAAAAGCGGGTAAGCGGTCGGCATCCTTAGACGATACACTAACCAATAGTAAGAACATAGGTTAAACTTTACTACTATCCTTAGACGATACTCTAACCAATAGTCCGAACCTGGGATGATCGATACTACTATCCTTAGACGATACACTAACCAATAGTACGAACATCGATTGATCGATTTTACTATCCTTAGGCGATACTCTAACCAATAATATGAACATCGGTTGATCGATACTTATATCGTGTGCCTACGGCGTCAGACTGCCACGGAAAATTTGCGGAGGAAAAGTGTGCTGAAAAAAATCTAATTAGCCGGTGAGTACTGTTGGAAAAGTCACCTAAAGGCGAGTAAAACAAATAGACCAACCTCATTTCCCAATAGAATAACACAAACGCTGTGAATATAAGAAATCTTATTGTGCAATTACGACCAAAGGAGTTGACGCTGCCGCCATACTTTTTTCACAGCCATATGAAGTGCAACAACAATTAAGCACAACCGCTGCAGGTCCGTGGGTGTTTAGTATAGCACAAGTCATTAATTAGTGCTAATCAATATGCACAACATGCACACCGCCACCGATCGCCATCAAACGGTTGCAGGCAGCAAAGAAAAAAAAGTGTGGGAGAGGGGAGAGTTACTCCTACGCGCAAGGGAGAGCGAAAAGCGGGCCAACGAAAAAGTGCGGGAAAAAAGCGGGTAAGCGGTTAAGCGGTTAAGCGAGAACCAGAGAACCTGAGAACCTGAGAACCAGAACCGGAACTTGCGAAAACCGGGGAAATAAAAAGCCATAAAATCGGCGCGCGGTATACGTAGAGCCGAAAGTGAAACGGAAAATTCCATAAGTGGCAGTCATCAAAGTCCCGCTCCTCTCTCCGTCGATCGCCGAAGCCGCTGGATGCGGCGTATGCCGAGACAAGGAAAACAAAAAGGAAGAACAGCGAACCGAATAAAAGAGTGAGGTGAAATGAGGAAAAGCTTTTTGCTTTTATCAGCAAGCCAGCTGAAGAGCAGTACGCAGTTTCAACTTCCAGCAGCAAATAATAGAGTGAGTGACGATCTCTTTCATGTTTATCTTTATTAAGTTAAGGTACATTTTTCTTGACTTGGCTTCTCCCCACCTCCTTTTTGTTCTCTGCCATCCGCCATTACGGTTTGTGTCTGGGATATTTCTCTCCCGGAGAGTAGATCTTTGAATACGATTTGCATGGATTTCCAATTAAATGTAAACAAAAGAAAAATGCTCTCACGGGGAGTTGAGTCCGAAAAACGATCCACATGTGTGGACTGGAAGTTCAAGTGGGTGGAAGTTATTTGAAAATATAAATGAAAACAAATGAAAACCCCTTAATAATTTATTTCTAAATATTATTTATTTTCGCGTCATATTTACCATGTTTTTATATTGACATTTACATTGTTTATATTATTTACATTATTTACATATATATTATTTTTGTGTATATTCCGTGAAGAAATATTATCTCTTCCAAATTGATAGAATACATATGGAATCAGTTGTTGCTTATATTTTAATCCTTAGAAACATGTTGCTCAACATGTTCTTAGCCATATATGGCCACCAACACTTTTTTTACGTTTTATAACCTTGCAGGGTATTATTATAATAGTCAGAGCTTGTACCTATGTGAAGAAGTCATTTCCGACCCTATAAATCATATATATTTTGATGAGTATCAACAGGCGAGTCGATCTAACCACTTCAGGCAGCAAGAAAAAATTTTAATTTTTAAATTTTTTTTTAAGGGGTTACATTGATAAAATTGTCATAAAGAAAATATTGAAAAAAAATTAAATTTTTTAAATTTTAAAATTAGTATGCTGATTTATAAACGTATTTAAAACGAGTATAGGAAAGTTTTCCGAATTTAAATTAATTATTTATTTTTTGCTAAGTTATGAGTTGTTTAAGCATGAAAATATTGAAAAAATTGTGATATAAAATGTCTATAAATATCTATTTAAAGCCAGCGAATAGTTTAAGCTTATGTTCGAGTCCCGATTCAAACCTATAATTCAATTGAAAACTAAAAAGGTAGACAAACTTCTTCTTTCTAAAGTTTTTTTTTTTTTTTTGGTATTTATTTATTTCCTGGAAATTTGGGCAGGCTTTTGAATAAAATTCAGTCCCAGTGCCAGTTTCCACATAATAATAACCATCTAGGTTATTACCAAAATTTCTAAGCCTAAACTAAACGCCGAAAAAAATCTTTAAAATGCGTAAGGTAAGGGGAGATATATATATATATATATTTTTTTTTTTTTTTTCGAAATATAATGTATTTTATATTAATTAGATACTGGGACAAATCGTTTTTCATGGCATTTCCCTAACGCTGCTCAACTTTGTGGTTCAGGAGACGATACGATTTCGTAACTCGTAAGATTTCCCGCATTTTATTCCTACCCCGGGTCCGGTCGTCGCTATATACAGATATATGTGTGGAAAATTGGCCTAGTCTGGTTCCTTATATTTTAAGAACCACGATTTTTCAGTCTGCTACGGTTTTAAAAACTTGATGGTATTTCATTAATCCGAGATTTTAAGCATGGCTTTGCGGCTGCTGCTCTCTGCAGCACTTTATGAAATTCTAATAGGTGTGTGCGGCATGTGTCCAGATTAGTCTCATATATATATATATCTATATATATATGGGAGGGTATATATATACGTGCTGCTGCCAGACTTTGGGTCAGCTTAAAAGCTTCCTTTGCAGGCCACACCTGTGGCCTCTAATGCGACTGGCGGCAGGAATGCACTGAGGGAAATAAATATATATATAGATTTACAATCGGAAAATGGAGATGAAGAATGTGCTGATCAAATTTCGATTTATATATATATAAATTTGTAATTATTTACGACCTAAGCTAGCATGCAAGAGATGCATTTTTAAAGATTTTTAAAGGGCTAAATTAAAACATACGAAACTCATATGATTTTTTTATATTTCATTTTGTTTACGGTGCATACACCGACTGGAGCTTGCTCTCATATGCAAATGCCTTCATGTTAATGCCACAAATGCGCCTAAAATTATGTTAAGCACTTGCCAGCTTCGCTTTCGGTCTTGGGGCATGCCACGCTGAGAAAAGAGAGAGTGAGGACAAGGACGAGGATGAGGATGAGAAGGAGCAGGAGCAGGAACCATGACTGTAGCAAAGCCAAGGGTCCTGGCTGCAATAGAACGTTGAAGGCTTAGGCTCATTTATAAATCGGCGACAGTAAATTATAAATGGAATTACTATTAGAACTGACAAGGACGATGGGGCTTTCCTTCGTTCTCATTCATGTTCTCTTTGTTGATGGGGCTTTCCGTCCCCTGTTCGTTATCGTTTTCGTTCTCGTTCTCGTCCTTTTCCGTTGTTCTTGTTTCTCATTACTCGTTTCATGTTCTCGTCCTTGATGGGACTTTGCTTCTCGTTCCTGTTTGTCTTCGGGGCTTTCCTTCTCCTTTTCGTTCTCGTTCTCGATCTCGTCCTTAATCTCGTTCATATTCTCGTTCTCGTCCTGGTTTTTCTTCTCCATTTAGTTCTCGATCTTCTTCCCATTCTAGTTGGAAATTTCCTTCACATTTTCTCCTTCTCGTTCATTAATAATCATCCTCATTTGAGTTATACATTTCCTGGAAAACATATATTTACCATTTCCAAACCTTATCTTCAATTTTTAATAAAGACTCCCATACGTTATCCATAAAAGTGATAAAAACTACGGACCAAAAGAGGAGACAAACACACTGGGACTGTGTTGCAGTATATTAAAGTTCAAAAAGGCAACGACAGAATGACTTAGAGAGCGCAATCCTTCGCTTTTGCCCCAGAAATGGAGTTGTGGGTCCTGTAATAGGGACCCACATTCCATGTGGGCGTCCTGGGCGAAAGTTGAACAACGCCAAAAGCCTAAGGATGACAACATGGCCCAAAAAAAAACAAAAAAAAAGAGCTCAAAGAAACGAAAAACGAACTGAAAACGAGCAAAAAATAAGGGCTTAGCAAAAGCAGAAGGAGATGCCAAAGTCAAGGAAGCGGGATCCAGGACATTGGCATGTTTGGAACCATAAAAAAAAACAAACTTGTTTCCAAACCAATAGCAAAATTAGTGGGCAAAGCGTTTCTAAAAAGATATATTTCTATATATATACTGATAAATCAAGAAAGTTGTTAAGGAAAAATTTTAGGGAAATATGGGATGCTAATTTTGAAATTATTTAGCAATGCTTTGAAAGGCTTTAAAGTAATTTTGTATATTCTTTTAGAGTCTTCTAAATTCCAAGTTTTAATTCCTAATTATTTACTTATTAATTTGTTGTATAAACATCAACTATGTTTATTTAAAATCTACTTATATTTGGCAATTAATAATTAATATAAAATATAATTATATAAACGTGACTCACGCTGCCATCGTTGGGACAAAACTGTGAGCGGTTTCAGCGCGGATTTGCGCTTAGTTGAGAACTAGAGAAAAAGACGAAAAGCCTCGCGAGTTTTGCCATTTTCCGACTTCTTCTCTCGTTTTTCCAGCTGGAGCTCCTCATACGAAACGACGACGACGACATGGTCGGATGGCTTAGGAAGTAATTTTAGCATTGTAAATCCTTTTGGAAAATTATAGCGACAGTCAGCTTGTAGTTAGTGGCAGCTGCCTGGGCTTGGGAAAGGGATCCTGCAGAGGGGAGGGTGGTGAGGTTGGTTGTCTAAGGACACATATGGCTGACTAACGTAGATGGAAACGTAGACAGGGGCTATCATAAGATCAGGCACACACAAATTGTGTTAGCTTCTTCTCCAAAATGCACAAAAATTGTGCAAAACACGGGCGGCGGCATGGAACACACAAACAATTTGAGATAGAGATGGAAATTGTTAGATATGCCATAGTAGAGATGCACAGAAAGAAATCTTGTGGTTGGAGTGTAAAAGAAAGCTTGAAAGAATTGGTTTTTGTATGGAAATTAATACAAAAACGCTTAAAAAATCAAATATTACTTGTACTATTTTCTACAATTTCACTCAATTCCTTGTTGCTTTTTTATTTAAATTTATTTAGCTTTAAATGTTTAGTTTTCTTAATAAATTAATGCTAGATTTAAAAGCTTAATTACCTTAAATTATAAGTGCATTCTTGGGGCTTTTTTATGGCTGGTGTAAGTGTGTAGTAAAAGCTCAACGACTGTGCAGCGCGAAAATATTCATATGAAATTTTGTTGGAGGCCAGAAGTGGCAGTGGAGGAGCAGCCAGTGAAGGAGCCAGGCCAAAGCCAAAGCCAAAGCCAAGGGAAGAAGTAGCAGCAGTCCAAAGCCAGAGATGAAGACCGAGATGAAACCGGAGTTGAAACTGGGAAAACTCGGGTTACAAGAGGTTGGAGATGGAGATGGAGACAGCGACTGGAGCAGATGCAGCTGGATGGGATGGGATGGCCGCCGGGTGAAAGTGGGTAAAGTGAGTCACATAAATCTCGACGACTAAAAAAAAAAACCGAAAAATACAAAAGAGACAAGTTCCAAAAAAGATCTAAGGCACTTACATGGTTATTGTACTCTTAAGAAAATGTATAAAACATAGTAGAACTTATAGAAATTAGTTATTATTTATTAATTTGTTTATTTATTTATTAATGTATTTATTTATTTATTTATGTATTCATTCATTTATGTATTAATTTATTTATTTGTGTATGTATTTATTTCTTCATTCATTTATGTATTTATTTATATATATAGATAAATTTGTCTCCTATTTATTTCCTTCTTAGGAAACACATTTATATATCTTTTAACAATATTTCCTTACTTAGAACCAGCTTAAAGAAAAACCTATATACCCTTTAAACTTCAAGGACTCCTTGGCAAAGATATAATGCATGCATTCCCAATTTCCAAGTGGCCCTCCGTTTTTTTTTTTCATATATAAAATATGTGCGGCAATTCAACCTACATTGAAATCTCTTCACATAAACGTATATATCCACTAGATTTATATATAAAGTATAACTACTGGGATTTATTCCGGCATTCGATGCTATGATTCAAGGAGTCAACCGAGTGGCAACGATTTGTGGGCTCAGTGCAAACATATTGCGAACAAGAAATAATATTTGGCAAAATATTAATAACTTTTCGGGTAGCAAGTATTAGCCAAGTATTAATATTGCATTTCACCTTTTTGTGTGTTGGAATAGAACACACAAAACTGGACCAAGATAATCAGAAAAGTTTCTGGACTTTGTGTCATAACATTTTGCAATTGATTTTCGAAATGTAATTAGATTCCGGGGTTGACCTGAAAGTTTTGCAATGGAATCCATCCCGTATGCAAGGCGCACACACAAGGACGACTCGAAACTTGCTCCTGCACACATTTCTCAATCTGGGATTTATTTCCATTTTTTTCTTTCTTACTTTTTGGGGTGTCTTGTTCTGTGTGGTAAAATGTTGTTGTTTTTATGGCGAAAATTGAAATTGCAAAAGTCGAGCTTCAGTTTCAGCTTCGGCAACTTGATATTTTATTCGAATGCAAAGGCCAAATCCCACATAATGCATCTGCAAATAGGGACAAACAAGGTGAAAGGAGGAGGGGTAAAAGATGTGTGTGTCTATATGAAACACACACTCTTAAATATACGTACATATATGCCTCTGCCTGTGTATTTTCTGGGCAAAGAGAGTGGGAGTTTTTGGCAGCTTTTCTTGTCTATTTCGGCGGGATTATGGCCGCCACACGTTCGCCATGTCCGGGACAAGAAGGACTCCCAGGACTACCGAGTTGCTGCCTGCCAGCCTGCGGCGAATGTGAGCATTTTTCGGTCTCATGTAGGCAGTAATTGGCCTCAGCTTCTGCTCCTGCTCCTCAGCTTTAGCTACCAGTTCTCCTATATCTTCTGATACTGATCCTTCTTGCCTCAGAAATGGAGATTTTCAATTGGAGATTTTCGAGACAAAATTGTTTATACATATATTATCAATGACTACAAAAAGGTAGCAATTTTAATTCGGAAAGTTGTCCTATGTTACTTTTTGTCAGGTTAATAAATCTGTATACTCTGTAATATTTTACAAAATTAAAATTTTTATTAATTTTTTTTTTTTAATTTTAACTAATTAACCCCTTAAAAAAATTAGAAATAACTAAAAACAAAAACTCCCGGCCGGAGATGGCTAGATTTGTTGATGCTGATCAAGAATATATGTAACATATATGTTTTATAGGGTCGGAAATGACTCCTTCACTGATTAAAATTATAAAAACCTCAGTCAGATTCTTAAAATAGATTTTCTTATATGAAACATTTATATTGAGAAATAAAAATTTAAAAAGTTCATAACTAAATCAAAAATGCTTTAATTTTATTTCGGAAAGCATATTTGTGTTAGTTTTTGAAGGTCAACAAATCTGCATACTCAATTCAATATTTAAAAAAATTCAAATTTTTATCAATTTTTTTTTGTTTACTTTAACGATGTAACCTCTTAAAAAAATGTTGAAAAAATTAATAAAAAAATGTTCTGTCTGGGGTAGCCAGATCGATTC